GAAGCCAATCAGCTTCCAGGTTTTATTGCTAAAGCTTAATTGAAAAAGCTGGGGTTATAAGGTGATTGGTTACCATGCACAGGTGCACCAGATTCTGAGTGAACCAGCTTTAGAAAATAAACCCCAGTGTGTATTGTCATTCTGGCTATTAAACCAACCCATCTTCTGGATTCTGTGATTTGTTTGCTGCCTGCTCTGACTAATAAGCACAGTGCTAAGAGTTTCCAATTAGTAGCTTGTGCTGGATCTAATTATTTCCTGGCTGAGAAACTAATTTTATTGCTTGAATGGGAAATATCCTCCTGCGCTTGGTATGGGTGAGTCCCTATCCTAAACAGCAGCTATCACTCTGCTTAACTAATAGGTGATTAAAGTAACAAACACAAAATTAGTGAAGCGCTAAAACGAATCCCTACATACGCACACAGTGCATATAATATTAAATGGAAACCATACCTCATAAGTAAAATATATCCGTGACATAAAAAATGTGTCAAATAGAAAACCAAATAAAAATATTTTTCTTGCCCCTAAATTATTTCTTTAAATCATACATTGGTAAAAAATAGAAAATCCATGATAATACGAATAAACAGTGATGGAAAAAAATTATATATATAAAAAACTGTGTTTAATTAATATTATTTATAAATATATATGTGATAATACCAATAATAAATGTGACACCTAACAGAATAAAAGCATATAAATAGTGAATCTCAATCAAATAAACGTGATTGTTGTGAAAAAATTATGCTATAACATAAAAAAAAATCCACTAAAACTTGTGATGTTTAGATATAAAAAAAGTGTCTCATAAATGAAACACAACACAGTCCATGCAGTAAGGGTGAAAACGGAACTACTCAGTGTTCTTCACTTCTAGTGCTCATAAAAAAGACAGGTGAAATCCTCCAATGGCCGAGCATTGCCTGCTCACCTACCCCAACTACTCGACCCTCAAGGGGCCACATGGAGATATCTCTCCTCCAGGTAATCCTAGCAATGCTTCCAAGCAAGCCTCAGTAAGGAATCACAGGACCTCCTCTCCACCTCCTCCTGTACAGCAGTGCGTGGAGGGTACCTCTTCCTTTGGTGCAAAGGGTTCCAAATTCATCAGTTGCAGGCAAGAGTTCCCGACTGCACGCCTTCTCTGCTCTAGGCATCATCTCTGCTCTGTCTGTCTTCCTAGTTCTAGAACTAGGAAGACAGACAGAGCAGAGATGATGCCTAGAGCAGAGAAGGCGTGCAGTCGGACTCTTGCCTGCAACTGATGAATTTGGAAACCCTTTGCACCAAAGAAGAGGTACCCACCACGCACTGCTGTACAGGAGGAGAGTGGGCAGAGGAGGTCCTGTGATTCCTTACTGAGATGCTTGGAAGCAAAGGATTACCTGGAGGAGAGATATAGCCTTGTGGCCCCTTGCGGGTCGAGTTGTTGGGGAGGTGAGCAGCATTGCTGCCATTGGAGGATTTTTCTCCCTGTCTTTTTTATGAGCACTAGAAGTGAAGAAAACACTGAGTGTCGTTTTCACCTTACTGCATGGACTGTGTTTGTTCATTTATGGACACTTTTTTATATCTAAACATCACAAGTTTTAGTGGATTTTTTTTATGTTATAGCATAATTTTTTCACAACAATCACGTTTATTTGATGGAGATTCATATTTATATGCTTTTATTCTGTTAGGTGTCACATTTATTATTGGTATTATCACATATATATTTATTATATATATTAATTAACACAGTTTTTTATATATATATTTTTTTTTTTCCATCACTGTTTATTCGTATTATCATGGATTTTCTATTTTTTACCAATGTATGATTTAAAGAAATAATTTAGGGGCAAGAAAAATATTTTATTTGGTTTTCTATTGACACATTTTTTATGTCACGGATATATTTTACTTATGAGGTATGGTTTCCATTTAATATTATATGCACTGTGTGCGTATGTAGGGATTCGTTTTAGCGCTTCACTATTTTTGTGTTTGTAATTTTATTGCTTGGAGTCCAATTATTAGCTTAATATGGGGCAACAAATTAGTAGCTGAGGGTTCAGTTTATTGCTGGGAGCTCAATTAATTGCTGGCTGTGCAACTGTGCTTTATTGCAGGAGAATGTATAAGGCATTATTGTGCTATATTGCTGCCTGAAGGGGGGGGGCAATATTGTACTTTATACTGCCTGAAAAGATTACAGGATTACTAGATTCAATGCTATATTGCAGTTTGTTATAATTTACTGATGATGGGTGTATTTGTAATTTGCTTGGAATAAGAATTATTATAGTTTGTTATTATGTTCTCTATCTATTACTTTCCTTTTTTTTACCATATACATCCTTGGCTAGAAAAAGCTTGTTAACCACTTGGCTACCAGGCACTTATAGCCCCTTATTTACCAGGCCAATTTCATCTTTCAGCGCTGCCGCACTTTGATTGACAATTGCGCGGTCATGCAACATTGTACCCATATGAAATTTTGATCATTTTTTTTCTCACAAATAGAGCTTTCTTTTGGTGGTATTTAATCGCCAACTGGGCGCTTTACTGTTTGCACTATAAATAAAAAAAGTGCAAAATATTTGAAAAAAAAAAAAAGTTTTTTTGTTTCTATTATAAAATTTTTCAAACAGGTATTTTTTCTCCTTCACTGATGTGCGTTGATGAGGCAGCACTGATGGGCACTGATAGGCGGCACTGATGGGCACTGATAGGCAGCACTAAAGGGCACTGATAGGCAGTACTAATGAGGTGGCACGGATAGGCGGCACTGATAGACAGCACTAATGAGGTGTCACGGATAGGCGGCACTAATATGCAGCACTGATAGGCGGCACTGATAGGTGACACTGATGATGGGCACTGATAGACGGCACTGACTGGCATCACTGCTGGGCACTGACTGGCACAACCCCTGGGCACTGACTGGTGGCACTGACTGGCAGCACTCCTGGGCTGCACTGGTGGGTGGCACTGGTGGGCAGCACTGGGTGGGTGGGCACAGGTGGGTGGCACTGGTGGGCACAGGTGGGTGGACACAGGTGGGTGGCACTGCTGGGCACAGGTAGGTGGCACTTCTGGGCACAGGTGTGTGACACTGCAGAGTGGCACAGGTGGGTGCACTGCTGGGCACAGGTGGGTGATCTGCTGGGCACAGGTGGGCGGAGCTAGTGGGCGCACTGCTGGGCACAGGTGGGCGGAACTTGCGGGTGGCACTGCTGGGCACCGATCATCAGGGCACTGATCATCAGTGCCCTGATGATCGGTTTGCCGATCCCCGCTCTGACAACTGCCGGTTCTCGGCAGTACTTTACTCACGATCTGACTGCGTGAGGAAAGTGCAGCCGAGAACTGGCACTTGCATTTCCCTCTGATCAGCGTGTCATTGGGACACCACTGATCACGTGGTAAAAGGCCGCTGTGATTGGCCTTTTACCACATCACGTGATCAGCTGTGTCCGTAGGACACAGCGATCACGGAGATCGCCGGGTGCGCGCCCCCTGGGGCGCGCAGGAGAGCGCGTTCTGGGAGGATGTCATATGACGTCCACTCAGAAGTGGCCGGCCCGCAGTGCAGCCGTTCATTCGGCTATCTGCGGTCGGCAACTAGTTAAAACATATCTACTTAGTTAATTGCACTAGGGTTGCCACCTCATCCCTTTAAAACCAAACACATATTAACCAGTTCCCGGCCTATAGCCAGATGGCGGCCGGACGAGCAGCTCGTCACTCCGCGTGGATGCCATATGGCATCCTGTCAGGCATGCGCAGGCAGGGCTGCTTTGCGGCGCGATCTGTGACCGGCCATGTACCTTGGACACGGCCCGATGACAGATCTGTGTGCCGGCCCCATTTCCAGTACCATGCCATCCATTGTACACAATGTGTCTAGCTGCGAATGGTCACAGCGATCACATGCACAAGCTGGGCCAATCACAGCCCAGATGTGTCATGTGATTAACCGTGGCCAAATCACAGCTAAGCACAAAAAAAAAAACCCTGAATGAAACGATGTCATTCAGGTAAATGCTTGCTTAGAGCAAAGTAATTCTTTGCTATAAGCAAATTGTGTAAAAAAAAAAATACTGATCACTTCCCCAAAGTAGCACAATGTTACTATGGTAACATTATAATGCTTTGGACGTGATGAAATATGAAAAAAAAATCTTAAAAAAGAGAAAAGAATTTTATAAAAAATTAAAACTAATTAAAAAATTAATTTTTTTTTTTTTTTTAATTATAAAAAATTTTTTCGTACTGTTACCAGTCAGTGTCCTTGATCACCGCCATGCCAGTTATATGATGACGCTGTACTGCACTGGTGACAGTATGTAAAAAGAAAATAGTGAAATAATTTTTTTAAATTTTTTCATTTTCTGAAAAATTATGACAAAAAAATTATGACTTCAAAAAACTCGTCATGCTTCTTATGAAGTACGTCGGACTGTCTACTCTGCAAAAAGGGGTCATTTGGGGGATATCTGTACTGTTCTGACATTCTTGGACCTCAAGAAATTAGATTGGCTGTCAGTACTTCAGGATTGATCAATATTCAGATCTATACCATAGTTTGTGAACTCTATAACTTTCCTACAAACTAAAAAATACATCCTAATTTGGGTTATTTTCACCAAACACATGTAGTAGAATACATCTTGGCCTAAATTTATGAAGAACAATTATTTATTTGCAAACTTTTATAACAGAAACAAAGAAAAACGTGGGGGGTTTTTTTTCACAATTTTTGGTCTTTTTTTGTTAATTTAGCAAAAAATACCAGCGGTGATTAAATACCACCAAAAGAAAGCTCTAGTTGTGTGAAAAAAAAATGATACAATTTTAGTTTGGGTACAATGTTGTATGACCGCGCAATTGTCATTCAAAGTGTGAGAGAAACCTGAAAAATGGCCTGGGCCGGAAGGGGGGTAAAAGTGCCCTGTATGGAAGCGGTTAATTACACAGGTTCTGTGGCTAATTAAGGTGTTGATTAACCACTTCCCGACCGGCCGTTGTATATAAACGGCCGGACAGTGGCACTGCAGGGTCGGGTGGCCGTTTATAGCACGCAGTACTGCGATCCGGTGCCCGCTGTGTCCTCCGGACACAGTGAAACACCGATCGTCGGACGGGACCTCTGTACGAGGTCCCGATCATGTGATCGCTGATTGGCCAATCAGTGATCACATGCAAAGTAGTAAGCAAGATGTCACTTCTGACATCATTGCTTACTACGTGTGAAATCTGTGAATGATCACAGAGGTCACATGGTACAAGGCTATTCACAACAGCCTTGTACCATGTGACAAGCTGTGACCAATCACAGCTCACTCAGTAGTTCTCAATGGCTGCAAGAATGTAGACATACAGAAAGAGAAATGATTGCTTTTACATCCTATATGGGTGTAAAAGCAATCAATGTAAAAAAAAAAAAAATCTTCATCAACCCCCAAAAGTAGTACAGAGTCACCATGGTGACACTGTACTGCTAGGGTGACAGTATGTAAAAATAAATTAATAAATAAATAATAATATAAAAAAATAAATAAAAATGTAAAACAAAGTTTAAAAATTATAATTTTTGGTTATAAACTAATTTGGCTTATTTTTTTTTTACTAAGAAGATAACGGAATACATTTTGGCTAAGATTTATGATGAAATATTATTTATTTGCAAAATTTTATAAAAACACTTTTTTAAAAATGTTTTGGACATTTTCATTTACATAGCAAAAAAAATAAAAATCCCAGCAGTGAGTAAATACCACCAAAATAAAGTTTTATCTGTCACAAAAAAAAATGGTAAAAAATTCATATGGGTACAGTGTTGCATGACCGCGCAATTGTCATTCAAAGTGTGATAGCGCTGAAAGCTGAAAATTGCCCTGGTCAGGAAGGGGGTAAAAGTGTCTGGACTGGAAGTGGTTAAACTCACTTAGAGCCTTATTTGCGTTAAATTAGCCTCAGAACCTGTTTGGATTGAAAGGGATGAGGTGGCAACCCTAGTCAGGACTGTTTTGGCGACAATATTAGGTGGGTGGTCAAAATGTTATGGCTGACTAACTGTGATAACATTTCAATATATGGTAGTAGGATCATAATAATATTATCTCAAGGTATATTATATTTTCCACTTCTTTTCTGAATCCATAAAGCTGTGGAAGCATACACATTTGTTCTGTGCATGCTGATGTTCAGTGATCCTGTACAGGTAATTGTATTTTCTTTAAAAATACTGTATGCATGGAAATTTTTTTTCCTAAATCTTTGCAGCTGTTTACCCGCTTTCCCAACGCCCTATAGCAGAAATACTGCTACAGGGTGGCAGGGGTGCGCAAAATCATGTATATATATGTGATTTTGCATTTCCAGGTAGGCACCCTACCCGTGCCACCATTGGCGGCCTCACCTGTCAATCACCGGGTTCCCACCGATCGCCGTGTATCACCGATGGGGGAGAGACCTGTATGATCTCTCCCCTGTCAGCTCCTGCACACTGCTTTGTATGGCTTTGCATAGCAGAGCCATATAAAGCAGTGTGCTTACAGTGTAAAGCACACACACAGCACACAGTTAAGCCTTTGATTGCCCCAGATGTTAACCCCTTCCTGCCCAGTGCCATTAGTACAGTGTCAACGCTTTTTATTAGCACTGATCCCTGTATTGGTGTCACTGGGGATGTCAGTGACAGTCAGTTCCCACCAGTGTCAGAATGCACACAGCAGTCCCACAGTCCTGCTATAAGTCACTGATCGCCTGCCATTACTAGTATATGAAAAAAAAAAATTCCAGTATCTATACTGCCATTTGTAGTCTCTATAACTTTCACGTACACCAATTAATTTACATGTATGCAATTTTTTTTTTAGCAAAGACATGTAGCAGAATACATTTTGGCCTAAACTTATAATGAAATTAGATTTTTTTTTTTACATTTTTTATTGGACATGTTTAACCATTAGCCGCCGGGCCAATGGCCGTTTGGCGGCTTCAAAAGTGCTTCGGCATTCCGGGTGCACGCCATTTGGTGGCGCGATCTGTCACCGGCCATGTACCTCGGACACGGGCCGATGACAGATCTGAGTACCAGCCCCGTTGCTGGTACCATGTGACCTGCTGTGACCAATCACAGCAGGTCACATGACAGTTGTATACAATGGATGTCTTCATTCATGCCATCCATTGTATACTAGTGCCTAGCTGTGAATGGTCACAGCCAATCACATGCACATGTCATGTGATTAGCTGTGACCAAATCACAGCTAAGCACAAAAAAACAAAACAAAAAAAAAAACCTGAATGAATCAATGAATCGATTTCATTCAGGTAAATGCTTGCTTTAGCAAAGTAATTCTTTGCTATAAGCAAATTGTGTAAAAAAAAAAAAAAATACTGATCACTTCCCCAAAGTAGTACAATGTTACTATGGTAACATTGTACTACTTTGGTCATAGTAAAATATGAGAAAAAAATCTTTAAAAAAAATGTAATAACAAATTAAAAATAATAAAAAAATAAAAAATATATATATATTTTTTTTTCATACTGTCACCAGTCAGTGTCCCTGTTCACCGCCATGCCAGTTAAATGATGATGCTGTACTACACTGGTGACAGTATGTAAAAAAAAAATAGTGAAAATCATTTTTTTAATTTTTTTAATTTTCCGAAAAATTTTGACAAGAAAAATACAACTTCAAAAAACTCGCCATGCCTCTTATGAAGTACGTCGGACTGTCTACTCTGCAAAAAGGGGTAATTTGGAGATATCTGTACTATTCTGACATTCTTGGACCTCAAGAAATTAGATTGGCTGTCAGTACTTCAGGATTGATCAATATTCAGATATATACCATAGTTTGTGAACTCTATAACTTTCCTACAATCTAAATAATACATCCTAATTTGGGTTATTTTCACCAAAGACATGTAGTAGAATACATCTTGGCCTAAATTTATGAAGAACAATTATTTATTTGTAAACTTTTATAACAGAAACTAAGAAAAACATGTTTTTTTTTTCAAAATTTTTGGTCTTTTTTTGTTAATTTAGCAAAAAATAAAAACCCCAGCGGTGATTAAATACCACCAAAAGAAAGCTCTAGTTTTGTGAAGAAAATGATAAAATTTTAGTTTGGGTACAATGTTGTATGACCGCGCAATTGTCATTCAAAGTGTGAGAGAGCTCAAATGTGAAAAATGGCCTGGGCAGGAAGGTGTAAAATTGCACGGTATTGAAATGGTTAATAGCAAAAAGTAACAAATATTGTTTTCTTCTCAAAACTGGCGGTCTTTTTTTTTTTAAAGAAAAAATGCAGAGGAGATCAAATACCACCGAAAGAAAGCTCTATTTGTGGGAAAAAAGGACATAATCTTCATTTGGGTGCAGCGTTGCATGACTGCGCAATTGTCAGTTAAAGTAATGCAGCACCATATCGCAAAAAATGGCCTGGTCAGGAAGGGGGGTAAATCCTCTGGAGGGCATATGGTTAACATACAATTTAAAATAGCCTTCCTGCAATATGTTAAATTAAAAAATTGTCATCCACTTGTTCTAATTGGCTGTCAACGGAATCCCAAATAGGGAAACACAAACAATAACTTTATCACACAAAATTTGAAAAAAGGATTACAAGTAATAAAGGTAATATTGCCTTAATGTATAATTGAAACTACAGAAAACAAATGAACACAGGTTGAGAGGAATTTCAAAAGATTTATCTGCATTCTCAACACTGCAATTTGTACAGGTGTAATTGCTCAGAGTAAGGCATTTACACCTGTGTTGTTCAAACATCACAGCCACGACCAATTTGTTTCCCTGTTTATCTCCTGCTTCTGAAGATCCTCTGGAAACAAAAGGGATTTGGCTAAGAAAGCTCTACACAGTTACAGTTTAAGATGCCACTTACTATTGCTTTCATCACCTTTCAATACTGGGATATATATTTAAAACCCCACATGATTTGCTTGGTTTAAACTTGGTAAGGTCAGGTTACATTGCAGTTCTTGCATTGCATTGTTCAGCCACTAGAACTCTCACACCTGTATACAGACTAGAGCAATTTTTACATTTCTACTATGGCTTTAGATTAAACCAAATTTTTTTAAAATTGCAAATTAAATTCTGTGCTTTTTTTTCAGATAATAATGACTCTGAAATTTAATTTCTGGTACAAAATCATTGTGAAGTTTTATATTTTTATTGCAATGCTACTAAAAAAAACACACCAAATAAAAAATGAAAAAAAAAACATATCAATGATATAAAGATTATATCAGCTAAAAAATAATACCAAAGGGGAGACATTAGTTAATTATGACTGATCAGAGTTGTGATAGAGGTTAAACGGAATAATTTTATTTAAAAACTAGTGAGGTTGCTTAAACATTTTGTTCAGAAAAAAAAACTCTTGGATCTGTACCTAAAAGAACTACTTTTTACTAATAGTCAGTTGTTTGTACTGTTAATTGAGGCGTAAGTCACACAGTTGCCAGCCCTGTGGCTTGCATTTCCTCAGGCATGGCAGCCCATTCATTAGAGGCTCCTTGCACACTAGTGGTTTCTTTAAGCTCCTAGAAACTATTATCAGCATATTTTTTCTGCTCCTAGAAGCTAAATAGTGTTATCCTATGTGTCCATGCACACTACTTTAGGCTATTAGCATTTTTTTAGTTTTATTAAGTGTTTTTCCAGCAGAAAAAAATGCTAAATGCTCCTAAAAAACTCCTTACAGCTTTTTTCTAGCTTTTTTTTCCTCTATATGTAGAATGAGTGACAGCCTTGTGCATATTGCAAGAGCAGTGTGCTTCAGCTGCTGGTGCGGGAACATGTGCAATTCCTGCACCAGCAACCAGTCCCCAGCCTGCGGGCTAGTGTGAACTGAGCCTTAGTTTCTGCAGTCATACAAAAAACTAATGGTATAATTTTGTATACTACACAAAATAAACAATTGAACACCTTATCATATATGATATTTTTTGTTCTTCAGAATTATATTAAATGTATTAAAAACCGCTGCTTAAACCATACTATATAGCTTACTGTACAGAGAATGGGTTGGATGTCAGGATTTTAATCATGTGTTTTGCAGTGCAATTTTATTTGAGCCTCATTGAGCTATTTGAGATGGAGTGCCAAATGTTTTTGTAAAGGGCAATCATCTTCCCCATATTTTCTGTCATTTTTACAATCAGTGTATTTTTTATATACTAAGAAGCAGAGGTCGAAAACTCATTGATTGCGATCTGCCTGTCGATTCCCCAGCAGGTGACACCTAGATCACATTTGAGTCCCTGTGGTAGAGGACAATGAGCTCAGGCATCTTCTTGAGCTCTCAATCCAGGAAGCAGTGAAAGTGAGTCCTAGTTAGAGCTCCACAGCACTCTTCTTGCATGCGTGGCTGAGGAATAGGGAATGCCTCTGCCACCTAGGATTCACTGTCGGCTTTGACTGCACTCAGGCAATTGAGTCCAGTTTGATTCCCGCCAGTCCTCCTCTCCAGTTCATTCGAAGTGATTATGGGTGACATCATGTGATGAGAGAGGAGGGCCAGCAGGGATCAGCACACCAGAACAGGTACATCTGCCACAGCAGCTTCCCTGCGCTGCTCTGCATCAGGAAAACACTTATACACCCACATGACCCTCAGTACCATACCCCTTCTGTAGTGTGTCCTCGTGACTACTGGTCCTTGTACACTGCTGTACATCCTACTGACCCCTGTATACTGCCCTACATCCTACTGACCTCTGTACACTGTTCTACCTACTACTAACCTCTGTATATTGCCCTTCCCACTACTGAAGTCTGGGGGTTTGCTAGTTAATATCTTTAAAATAGGCCATGGCACCCCAGGGATCTTTGTTCTTTTCCATGTTGTCATGGTAGATCTTTACCTCTCAGAGGTTTCCTACCCCTGCAGTAGAGTGTTGTTAATGTGTGCAATAGTCCAGGTTTTGGATGGATATAGATTATTTAGACTAATTTGTCTACTATCTAATTTATTATTAGGAACAGTGTGGTTTTTTTTTATATACTGGTATCCATTAGTAGGTGTGACATGATGCCTAGGGGATCTTAAGACATAGGATGACTGATGCAAGAACCATGCCACAAGCCACTACGTACCTTATACAAGAAGATATCTTTGGCATTATTACATTTAGAATTATGTTGCAAGTGATACATTTTGAAGTTTGAATTGCATAGGATACTTCTTATGCAATATTTACAAGTTAATGAATGTATCCGAGAATATAATAATATATAAGTGAGATCAGCTTGTGGGACTGCAATATCACATCCAATTCCTCATTATCCATGGGTCCTAATTCCTCTTAGGCAGTCTTTTTCAGTATAAGCAAGTTTGTGGCATGAGGAATGAGTATATTTTTAGGGAAATATTAACTGCTCGAATGAAGGGAATTTTAGTTTGTCAATAGTAGGGATGAGCAAACTAGCAAAGTTCAATCCACAGGAGGTTTGGCCATGGCACTGAAAAATTTTTTTTTTCAAGTGCATTGGTACATGGGCATGGATGGTTGGGCACTGCATGTGCCAATGCAAACAAAGTAAAAAAAATACCATCAATGGAGAGAGGGTCTTTCAAACTAAAAATACAGAAATCCTTTAAATAGCATACTTTGGGTATTCCTTTAAGCCACGCACTTGCTTCCCCTTCCCCCCTTCATTTCCTGGCCACATAGGCTGCATACCTGGATATGGGTCTTTTTTTAATTCTCCATCAATCACATTGTCCAGCAATGTAGACCCAGGTCAATCAAGTCATGAGATGTCCAACAATGTTGACCTGCTACACCCAAAGATCTTCACTTGTCACAAATGACAGACCAAAAGACAGAGGCTTTCTGTCAGCTTGTTTATATTTGGAAGCAAGCAGGGATTCTCTGTGACGCCATTGATCTAACATGCTTGCAAACAGAAGCTGGAAGAAATCTGTCATGTCATTTAGCTGAAGTAGTGTCACTGTCCATCTACAGCAGCTGCAGAATATTGAGAGGAAGAATGGGGAAATGGACTTTCTAGGCAAAGAAGCTTGGTACACAAAAAGATAAAATCAATGTTCCTTTATTAACATCACATCATCTCTAAAATGTATCTTGTATGATATCATTGTTCAATTCGCTCACAGCTGATATCCCATAACCCACCGACCACATAATACCAACAAAGTAACCCTTCAAAGGGGTAGGGGATATTCAGGCTGTGCAGGCAATGCCCGACATGATTCATGACTACCGTCGCTTCC